ATATATAATATTTGAGAGAGAAAAATAATAATTTCTTCATTATTCATTTGATTACTTAATTTTGACAGCTTTTTTATATTTCATAAATTTTACTCACAGAATCTATTTATGAACTAACCCCATGAAGTATTTCCATTAGAGAAGCAACAGTTGTTCAGCTAACAAAAACTCTCCGTCTTTCATAGATCGAAGGTTAGGTACAGCATTCATAAGTCTACCACAATAGACTCTGCCTTGAGCCAGATGATTCTAATTCACATCTTCACACCCTGCGCCTTCAAAATTTCTTTTAAAATGACCCTCCCATAAACGTATGGGTCTCCTTAGTGAGTTGTTCGTATGACGATTTATTGCTTTCAGTCGCCGTGAAAGCTTCAAATCTTATAGGATCCAATAGTGTTTTTGATGGGTTTTTTTTTGCCCATCATTGTGCAGAAACTGATGTCCTGATCTTCTTGGATTCATCTAATTACAAATTCTAATGCCAAGTTTAAAAGTAATTACGACAAAGCATTTCCTTGTGTTTTAATGCATTCTGAATAGAAGCTGCATCCTAAAATGGTTAGTGTACTTGTGCTGACTTTATTTTGGTTTTCGAGTTACGTATTGTGATTACTCTGTCATGTTTAAAGAGAACGTTGCTCTATAGTAAGTTGTCGAACTACAGCCCCATTTTACTTCCATTCTCTTCTCCCATCTCTGACTTCTTGATCCATAACGTCGGAGTACTCACTTCTGATACCGTACCTAATAATTTCATTTGCTTAAAAAGCTTGTTTTAAAAAATAATATTGCATAAAAATTCTAGTTGAAGTCGACAAGGGTAGTATTCTTTGGTTAGTTTTCCGCCATTTTTTATGAATAAATACAACACTAGATGGACCTTTCCGCAGAAAGGTTTTTGTTATCAAAGTAGAATTAATACGTTTATAGATCTCATAACGTAATTCTTATTTCAACTTAAGTCTTCCGCTTTAATTTAAATAGCATTTGGCAATTTATAACTCTTCATCTTTCCAATAACAATTTAAACCTCACCAGACTGCATTCAGGTACGAATACCTCAGTTCAGTCTAACATTATTAAATCCATGTGAATTAAATAGTTCACTGTCCGTTCATTGAAAATATTGTAAAAATTTACAAAGAATATTAATTCCAGTTTATATTTCGAAGGACTTGAAACAATAAAGACTTTCAGGCACTAGTTTCCGTATAATGAAGGAATGTTTAAAAATATAGTATTAAATCTGTAACATGTACTAAACATATACCTAATTTAAAATGCTTTAGCATAATTATGCATTAACTTAATATTATTCTATTATTTAATCTAAATTTTAATGCCCTTAAACCTCACCATCATTTTTATGCACAGCTAAAATGACAAGGTGTTCCTTGCGGGTGAAATAAACATGATGTTCTATCAGAAACTGGTTGCTTAATTAAAATGAAGTGTTACAGTGTCTTAATCTCTCACTTACACAATCTCGCATGAGGCGTTATGTCCAACCTTTTAGCATCACAAATGTAAATTATTGTATACACTTCACTCAGAAAAAATCACAATATAGCTTCCGTAAATTATCAGTGAAACAAAATTCAAATATACATAGCATGCAGTACACACTTGTATGAAAATGGTAGTGACAGTACTAACGAAATTGTGTCGTAGGACATAATTTTAAATTTTATTCTCCTACTCCTTTATCAAAAATAAATTAGTGATTAAAGTAATGTTAAATTGATTCTATGATTCCTGTATTTTAAAAACTCTCTTGTTAAATCACTACAGGAATTAAGGGAATAAATCCGTACTCATACACAGAGAAGAAGAATAAATACTCCTCTAGGATATGTCTGAAATGGTACAGAGTTTTTGTGAACATACATAAAGGAATTTTATAAATTTTATCAACCCACAGCTTTTAAAAATTTTACCAGTGCTGCAAATATAGTTATAAATGTGGTGCATTTCTTTAGAGGTAACAAGTAACAATAATGTTTATCCCTTTTGTTCCTAAAGTCATCTGAATAATATTTAGAAATTCAGATCGTACTGCAAAGAAAACACAGCGCTTCTCTGTTCCAATTTTCAGTTGGATAATGCTGTTTACTCTGATAATCACATAGAACCGACAAATATATTCCGTTGGCAAAAAGCAGAGTTGACTGTTAAATCAGGTGGTATATGTGGTTACCACTGGTTTTTAAATGGTTACTCGTGGTGATAGTGTTATGCTTCGGAAAACAAAACCTATTACCGACGGAGAAAGAAACCATTTACAAAATTTTCCCCACTTTATAATGATCATAATATTCCAGTCTCAAAATATTCTACAGGTCATTTCCTTTCTTGTTTTATTTGCCGTTATATAAACTTGGCTATTTACCCAATTTTTATATATCTTAAATTATATTAATATTATTGTAAGCCATTCAATTTTGTGTTGTAAATGGGGAGTTCTGTTCTACTACTGTATTTGCTAATGTATTAGACGCACCATGGTATCGGAAGAAAATATTTATCAAAAGAGTCTAGGTAAATATATAGTATTTTATATATGCTCGTATTTATCAGAACAAACCAGTTAGGCCCAGGCCTGAAGGAAATCATACGCGCATATCTCAGAATATCAATACGTATTAATTATAGTAAAGATATTTGTTCAAGCAAAAAGAATTATATCCCTGTCCTCAAACCATCATGCCCTGAAGAAGTTCAGGGGTGAGGATTTATGCACAGCTTGTTGACATACGTGTAAAAGACGTATGATATCGTGGCCCACTTTTAACCGGAAGTACGTCTTATACATAGGCAGATACGTAATATAAATTATTAGTGTTATTAATGACACTTATCAATATTTGAAGTATCTTATTCAGAAAATCTTGTCACAGAAACAATGCGCAAAACAGCGAATAAAATTTTATACCTTAGATATTTTTTTATCTTAAACCCCTGACATACAATACAGTTCGAACAGATCGCCATTATAAATTCGTATTTAGCAATTATCGCGTTTCGTTATTTAATAGCCAATTACAGTTCTTGAACTTCTTATAGTCATAACTTATATTTCCTAATGATTGCAATTTTGTCTTTATTTCTAAACTGAAGGAACCGATAATTAACAGTTACGAAACGGAATGAGAATACATGCTTATAATAAGAATAATATCTGAGGAATCTTAATGGCGGCTTGTTATAAATGTGTACAAAATATTGTCCTATATAATACTTCGCAGTACGTAATACTGTCACTATGTTTACTTGCTTCTTAGCACTGTAATTGATAGAGAATGAGCGAGGCATTATCCTTTGGGATCGTTTAGATTTTAAATTCTTATTTGGTAAGGAACCTAATGTAACTTATTTTAATCGAACATACAGGTCTTCTAAAAGATAAGGTAGCAAAATTTGTAAATATTAAGCAAAGCTAAAATTAGTGTACCATATTTTGATTTATCTGTAATCATTCAGTCAGTTCTTTCACTTTTAAATAGGCGTCTATTTCCGTGGCATTTCCGCCATATTGAAAAGTGAGAATAGTTCGTGAATATACAAACTGTTTATGTAATATTTTATGCTATGATTCTGTATTCGGTCCGTGATCTGAATTAGCCTAAACATCATTCCGGTTCTACATAATTAGCTCAAGCAGGCAGATTTCACTCAACTGATAAGAAACACAGAATTTTTTCATTACTATGTTCTCAAGTATACATTAATGGACCCTGTCGTCAGACAGATACATCCAGCGCAAGTACTGACTTCATAACTATACATTTTCTGCATCTTCTTACCACTTCGACTCGTTTTAGTTCCAAATATTTCACATTCTTTAAACAAATGCCCCTATAATTTCATAAAGTTTTTATAGAAACAAAACTCCATCCCGACCAAAATATGATACAAATGTGTCATTTTGGAACATATATATGTTAAGTAGTGTTTCAGCAAGGAACGTTTCTGTGGATATTTTATTTCTGCTACTAAATTAATTTTGCAAACGAAGTTAATGGGCATTGTCATTCAGTTCTTTTTGTTGTTTTACCTTTGTCTCTGTGTCTCTGTGACAAATTCTCTGTTAAGAAGTCTCTGAATGTAAATGGATTACATTAATAAAGTCTTTAATAAATATATAGAGATGACGTCGTTAACTTTAATTTAAGTTTGTGTTTATTGGATCAAGAGGAAACAGAAAGAGCAGATTTAAAACTTCGATTCCCGTTTTATTAAAAATGTTTTTCTTCATCAATTATTAACGCGCAATAAATCCACGAATTGAATGATTAATTTACGTATTAATAAAGAATTAATTCGTATCTCTCGTATGAGTTTTATGCGGGAGATAGAGTGAATATTACGAATATATCTTCCTCGCAGATTTACTAATTAAAAATTAATAAAGTTACTTGTTGGTGGAGAAGTTTAAATTTAGAATAATTCCACATGCCCCTCCCTCCCGGGCAGCCATTCAGTCAGTCCAGAATTATATGTCGTTACAGAATTTAAATCTGACGGGCTTCCTGCAACAAAATACTTAGTTATTTAGGTTGCCCTTCGTTTTATGATGAATCGGACTTATATACATAGCACAGTGTAATTTGTCTATATTAGCATATGGTACTGCTCCCCCTTAAACATTTTCTATTTACATTTTACCTGAATTATTCTTCAGTTATCACACATTCATTACATACATTTCACTCTTAACTCAGCGTTGTATAAAATAAAATAATTGTTGAAGATTTCTGTCATCTGGGTTCTTGCGCTGTGTAGTCTGGTAGATGTTAACCAACATTTCAGAGGTCATATTGCCTCCGTCATCAGGGCGATGATCCTCATGACGGAGGCAGTATGACCTCTGAAACGTTGGTAAACATCGACCAGACTACACAGCGCAACAACCCAGAAGACAGAAATCTTCATACTCACCGCTGTGAGAACCTCAAATCTTACAAAATAATTGTTACTCCACAAAGCACAATTACAGTTCAATAAACACAGGTAAGTGTCTTGTGTCACTTGAAAACACCCGCTCTAGGTGACCAGACAGAAAGGTGAACTGGAGGTCAAACTTCTACTGTCACCAACATCCGGGGGGCGGGTGTGGGGGCCGATATCACGTGAGCCTGGGGGGTGAGAAAGGGCGGTGAAGCGCTAGGGGCAAAGTGTGGGGTTGTGTGTGCGATGTGGAGATGGGGGGCGAGTGTGCCCCGAGGCTGATACTCGAATCTGACGTAGTGCTGGCCGCTGCGGGGCTGTGGGGAGGCTCGGCGGATCTCCGCGGTGATCCGTGGTGATGCGATAACTGCGCTGCCAACTGCTGCTGCTGCTGCATCCTGAAACCAACATCAGTGCGAATCACCACTCAGAGGAAGAAACGCAAACAGCCAAGACGTGTAAAGAATTCCATAGCCTCATGCTTCTTTTCGAGAAAAAAAACCACTTGTATTCGACAGATGAAACTCTAGCAAGAAATTACGATGCCCTACTTTAATTTCCACAGACGGGCTAACAGATGAAATTTTAGTTTCTCACGACGGCGAGTAATCGCACTTATAATGAAGGCAGTGGTCACCTCTGAAAGCTGAAACGTCGGTCGATTTCTTCGATCCTACACGGCGCAACATCCCAGAAGACAGCCATCTTTATATTTGCCGCCGGAAATTTCACCTAATAAGTCTTAACAGGGAGGTTATTCTAAGTTTTTTTGATTTGAAGCTCTTCTAATCAAGAAAGCCAAGCAAGGAGACTCACTAGTCGGCTGATGATAAAGGGAGTAAGCACCTCTGAAACGTCGGGTCATTTTCTGCTTGACAACACAGCGCGACATCCTATGAGACTGTCATTTCCAGGCTGTCATATGCAATTAATAATCACATCCGTCGCAAACTTCGAAAATTGAAGGAGGAATGTAAGACACTTTCATGGAAACAGAGAACTGTATTTTGAAAGTAACATTATTGACATAATGACCAAAGAAATAGACGAAGAAATTATGATACCATTGTTTACAGAATTCCTTGCCGATTTGAATATATAGCTTAAATGTCATGAAACACTGTGTGAAAATATATGTAATTTAATAAAAAGTGGAATTCTGTTAAATAATTAAATAATATATTTAACACAGGCCTTTATGCTTAACTTAAATATATTGTAATACCCGTTATTTTGAAATTTGTCATCGTCTAAATTATATAATAATAAGTAATAATAAAAAATTACAGTGCTTTGGAAGCTAGATTCTGCTTCTGTAATCTGGGAAAAGAGGACAAAACTCCCATGTATTGAGCCTCCTGGTTGAACTAGCATCAAACCCGCACTAGGGTAGCTCGAAAAGGGTGATCAATGGTTAAGCTTTCTGTCATCTTTTAAGTCTTTTTACCTGAAGACGGAAGCAGAATTCAGCTTCAAAAGCATTGTAGTTTTTTGTTATTATTTTATAATTTAGATGATGGATGAAGTTAAACAAGAATAATTTTACATATAACCCTTCATCGTTTGAAACCTTCATAATTTAAATAAGCTGGTCTTTATTTCGTAGCTCTTAATGCTTTGCACATGAAGTTACAAACATATCCAGATAGCATTCCAAGCTGCTCTTCTTCGTTGTATACCGAGTTGTTTGTAGGCCACTAATCAGGCACTGAAAATGGAAGGTAATGCAATTTGTCGATGTCATCATGTAGGACTGTTCCTTCTCCACCTCTGAGAACAGGTTGTTCAAACAAACACTTGTGCCAGCAGACACGCCTCTGTGTCTCGAAGACGTCTTCCAACAGTTGGAAATAAAATAATTGAAATTTTCGCTGCAAGAAGGGAACAAATATAGAGTGTGTGTGAACAGGCGGTGAAACTGAGTACAAACCACACACAACGATTCTCTCACAACCTAAGCTCAGTATGGACTAATATAATTTCGGTTTTATGTAGATTTCCTAAGTCGATTACTATTTTAGAGAACTGCCATCTTGAACACACTTTGAAGCCGAAGCTCTAAATACTAAAAGGAATTCAGTTCCTACCGCAAAGAGAATACATCGCTTCATCACTACAAAGACCAACTGCTTAATGCTGTTTAACGAAATAATCCTTTTTACAACGAGAACCATAAAAAACCAATAAATATAAAATATACTTTGACTGCTGAAGCACTTGGGACATATAATTACTATTGGACTTTTAAGGGATGACAAATGACTATTTACTGTCAAAGACTATCGACATAAAACTTGATATTTGTCCGGAATGCTTTCAATTTTCGTATTTATAAGCCTATTAAAAAAAGAGCTAAATGGAACAAAAATTGCATATTTATAACTTTAAATGCGTACAACATATAACGTAACAGACGAACAGTGTATTAAGTACATAGGTCTACTAGCAGATAACAAAAATTGTTTGCGTCCTTGATAAGTTTTCCTACACTGTTTACGTATTGTAACTCTTGGGCGTTGAGTCAGTTGAACCGGTCTTCAACCAAAGCCCTCCTTTACTCAAGTACTTGTCCTAATGTAGAGAGGAAATTCTGTAGTGTTTAGAACATGTATAAACACACGAATGCTGGCGCGTTTAAGTTACACGAACGTATTTATAATACACATATAACTTATGCATATAAAATTACTCTGTGTACAACAAATTCATCAGTGAATGTAATATACCAAAATCAGAAGTTGAACTGTGTAATATCCTGAATGAACACAGCTGTAAAATTTTAGCAGACTACGTGTTAAATTAAATTAAGCAAAACGTATACTGATGTTACTGAAAACAAAGTGCAAATGAAAATATTTTGACGTCAGATACATAAAAGGAGGGAGGATTTTTTTCTTTCCTTAACAAAGTCTTTCAATTGTATTGATTATAGTGTTTATAGCTTGTGACAGGGATTATTCTGAATTGGAAAAGATGTGGAAAGAGGTGATGTCGTGGTATATTTTAACAAGCCATACCAGCATTTTATGTTAAGATTCAAACTAAATACATCCAAATTAGAAATAGCAGTTCCAATCACTTAACCTTAGATGCATAAAGAGAAAAACGAAGCACATTTTTACAACAGACGTTAAAGTGCGATTTAAGGTTTTCACAGCTGATTTTAATTGTGAAATAGAACCTGAACACCTTCCTGTAAAGTACGAGGGTCGCTCATTAAATAATGCCCCACATTTTTTTTCTCAGCCAATAATGAAGATAGAAAAGTGTACTTTTACATGCTTGAGATTTGATGTTTCTCGCGTTCGTGTACGGAGTTTCAAATGATTCCAACCAATGGCGGAGCTGTAGTGAACTGTTAAAATGGCGTCTGTGAACGACTCTCGTTACAAGCAACGAGCTGTAATTGAATTCCTTGTTGCTGAAAAAGAAACGGTGGTGAACATTCATAAACGTTTGTGTGCTGTGTATGGAAGCTGTGCAGTCGATAGGAGCACCGTTGGTCGCTGGGCTAAGAGAGTTAAAGCTTCAGGAAGTGAAGAAACCGAGCTCCGTGATCTGCCGCGCTCTGGGCGTCCTGCCACAGCCACCACTCCAGACATGTTGAACCGCGCGGATGCCATTATTCGTGAGGATCGGCGCATCACAACTCGACAATTGGCCCAACAGCTTTCAGTCCGCAATGGAAGTGTAATTGCAATTATCCGGGCTCTTGCATATTCGAAGGTGTGCGCAAGATGGGTTCCACGAAGTCTCACAGCAGACCACAGGATTCAAAGGAAAACGATTTCTTCTGAATTGTTGGAGCGTTTTGATGCTGAGGGAGAGGTCTTTCTGTCCCGGATCATTACAGGTGACGAAACCTGGATACACCACTTTGAGCCAGAGACAAAAAGGCAGTCAATGGAGTGGCATCATCCTCTATCACCGAGAAAGAAGAAATTCAAGACAACTCCCTCCGCCGGAAAAGTCATGATGACTGTCTTTTGGGACAGTGATGGGGTCATTCTTGTGGATGTGATGCCAAGAGGTGCGCCCATCAATTCAGACGCGTACATCAGGACCCTGAAAACCCTCAAGAAGCGTTTTCGACGAGTTTGGCCTCACAAGCATCCAGCAGAAATTTTGCTCCTGCACGACAATGCACGCCCTCACACAAGTCTGAGAACCCGGGAAGAAATCACCAAATTGGGTTGGACGGTGCTACCCCATCCACCCTACAGTCCAGATCTGGCACCCTCCGACTTCCATCTCTTTGGGCCACTTAAAGATGCTATCCGCGGAACAAGATTTGAAGATGACGAGAGCGTGATTCAAGCAGTGAGGACATGGCTACGTGCACAGGACAAGAGCTGGTACCGGCAAGGCATGCACGCACTTGTTCCACGATGGCGTAAAGCCGTACAAGTTGATGGGGACTATGTGGAAAAATAGTATGTGTAAGGGAAACATTGATTTATATTGTCACTAAATTTCAGCCATCTTGAATAAATATATTCTAAGGAAAAAAATGTGGGGCATTACTTAATGAGCGACCCTCGTAGATCTGCTTTGTTGTGTGGTATAATATGCAGACAGCTGTTCTAAAACACAAACGAGGACCGTAGGCAAATATATCACATTACAATATCAATTCTGTTCATCAATAAAACCCCATCGATCAGTCTCAGTTATTGTCCAACGAATCCAACATGCATGGAGATTTCATTTAGATTAGTTAACGGCTTGGTAGCAGCATAAGTAACAGTAATTAGTAATTTCCAGGCAAGCGCAGTCCCCTACACACAATGTTAGGGCTGTCCAAACTAAACCAACATTTTTTTATCGTTACTAAATGAACTCAAGCATGACAGCATGAAATTTTACTCTCGTAACTTCGTGTCATCTGAACTCATAGATTTATTAGGTTTATCTGCCATTTCCTTGCCACGCCCTTTATTGCATTCGACGTCCCTCTGGCTGAATGTCTCAGTGTGTATACATGGAACATTCAGTTAGGCGTTTTTTACGCACTCGATAGCGTGAGTTCTGTACTTCCGTCTTTCTATTCATAGTCTTACATCTGTAACTGCAATGTAAGGTTAAACTGAAATTTCAAATGCTAGTTCTGTTTCATGTCCTCTGTCTCTAGGTAGTGTCAGTACGAATTCTCTTGCTGTGTTAGAGCGTCTTGCATTTTATGCCCTATATTTTGTCTTATATTTCTCCATTTGTTGACATAACATTCTTTTATATTCCACCCACACATATATGGTTGTTCTGGTTTGGTTTTAATATATAGTCTCTAAATCTAATTTAATTTCTGAGGTACTCAGTGTGAAGTTGGTATAAGACGTGTTTTGTACTTTAAACTTTTGAAGGTATAAGAGTATTGAAAAGTAATCTTAAAAATACTTTT